TGGGCCCCACACGTCTAGGTGGAGAGTCTGCAGGGGAGCCTCTGTGGGAGGGAACGAGGAGGAGTGAGGAGCGGCGCGCTGCCGCCCCTCAACACAGGGAAGACAGGGAGGAGCAGGCGAGGGTGGGAGGGGAGGGAGAACACTGGGAAGACCAGAGACAAGGACACGACGGTGCATGCTGCGAAGGCGCTGCACCGAGGGGTGACCAAGGCGGTGGTGCCAAAGGAGGGTCTCGTGCGACAAGGTGCAACACAAGCAGGGGGCCGACAGCTGACCTGACGCAGACGCAGACGCAGCTACCTGAGGGGACTCAGTGGTCAGGGTGTATAGGCTCGAGCCAGGCTCACGGGTGAGGTGTCGGCCCGTCCGAGCACACGTACAGTGAGTCACTCGCTGACGCGCAGGAGTGAACTGGTCAACCCCCCCATCCTGGAGGCCAGCTCCACTCACTAGGTTCGTAGAGAACGAGGGGAGGTAGAGACCTGACAGCAAGCCAGACGGGGCGGCCAGACACGGCAGAACCGTGGAGTAGTGGGCAAGGACTGGACCCCCAGAGGGGTCTGCCATGGAGACTGCAACCGGCCGACTAAGCGGCGTGAGTGTGGTGCAGTCGTGAAAGAAGGAGCGGGAAGCTCCTGAGTCAAGGGTGAAGGTGCGCAGGGTCGCAGCAGGCGAAGTACCAGAGAGGGCAGACTCACCAGCACCTGGAGCAGCAGCCTCACCAGCACCTAGAGCAGGAGACGCAGTAGCACCTAGAGCAGCAGCCTCACCAGCACCTAGAGCAGGAGACGCAGTAGCACCTAGAGCAGCAGCCTCACCAGCACCTAGAGCAGCAGGCTCTATACCTGGGTCAGGCGGTACGCACAGGTAACAGGCACGGTCAGCACTAGTAGACAATGCATACATGGCAGTGAGAATAGCATCATAGTCAAGAGCAAATATATCTACCCTCTGCCCAAGCAGCTCCACCCAGTGTTGGAGCTCAGCCTCGTCGCCAAACTCGGTACGCCAGGCGTCGCTCAGACGGGCGAAGCAGCGGGACTCTGTGTGACTAAGCGTCCCGCAAGGCTGACCAGTCCGAGCACCAGTGCGAATGACGTAAGGGCAGCAAACGGAACTGAGAGACCCTCGACTCTGAGCGTACCACTCACTAAGCTGCTGGGGCGTGCGAGACTCGCGTGGACGACGCTGGAGCTGCATCTGGCCACCGCCAGTAGCAGCAGTAGCAGTAGTAGCAGCGCGACCACCCCTACAACCCCAACTAGCGTACCAGTCAGTAAGCTGCTGGGGCGTGAGGGACGCACGTGGACGCCACTGGAGCTGCATCTGGCCACCGCAAGTAGCAGCAGTAGCAGTAGTAGCAGCAGTAGCAGCGCGACCACCCCTACAACCTCAACTAGCGTACCAGTCCCTAAGCTGCTGGGGCGTGAGGGACTCACGCGGACGTCGCTGGAGCTGCATCTGGCCACCGCCAGTAGCAGCAGGAGCAGTAGTATCAGCAGTAGCAGCAGGAACAGCCGTAGCAGCAGTAACAGTCGTAACAGCAGTAACAGCCGTAGTACGTGCAGGGCAGGCGCGACAGGCAGGCAGGCAGGCAGGCCGGCAGGCAGGCAGGCAGGCCGGCAGGCCAGCAGGCGGGCAGGCAGGCAGGTAGGCGGCGCGGCAGTGCGCTAGCAAGGCAGGTGCTCACCAGTAGCGGGAAGAGCAGGCTCTCACCGGGCGAGCAGGGCCGGTGCTCGGCGGACGGCGACAGGGTCGGCGCACGACGGCGAGGACAGCGGGGCCGCAGCAGCGGCTACGACAGCGGCAGGTCAGGGCCGCTGCAGTGGCTGTAGAGCCGGGTCGAGTCAGCGGCAGGGCGGGGCGGGGTCGTGTCAGCGGCAGGGCCGGGGCCGTGGCGGCGGCAGGGCGGGGCCGGGTCGTGTCAGCGGCAGGGCGGTCCGGGTCGTGTCAGCGGCAGGGCCAGGTCGAGTGAGCGGCAAGTTGGGGCCGTGTCGGCGGCAGGGCATGCCGTGGTGGCGGTAGGGTGGCGCGCGCCGCTGCCTAGGGCCGTGCACTGGCGGGTAGAGCGCGGCGCGGGCAGCGCGGACGGCGCGCAGCGTGCTGCGGGCCGCGGACGCGCCGCGCGGGCTCTGGATGGGCTGCGCGGGGCAGCGGCGGGCCGCGCGCGCGCTGCGCGGGCTCGGTGCGGGCTGCACGGGGCACCTGCGGGCCGCGCGCACGTCGCGCGGGCTCGGGACGGGCTGCGCGGGGCAGCTGCGGGCAAAGCGCGCGCTGCGTGGGTTGACGCGGGCTGCGCGGTCCGTGCGCGGGACGCGACTCGGCTGCCGAGGTGCGATACGGGCAGGAGAGGGCGACCCGCGGGGGTAAAAACGAGGCTAAACCCTAAACCCTAGGGCAGAAGGAGGCAGCACGAGGGCTGCAGGACGTAGCGCACAGCGCAGCACTTCACGAGGCAAGGCAGGCAGGCACAGGACAACACGTGGGGTAGCGCGGTAACCGCAACGGTAGGTGGGCCCGAAAAAAAGACGGTCCTACGAACCTACTGCTCTGAAACCATGTCAGAAGTACAGGCAGGAATGAGTGCATTGATCAGAGATGTGGGTACATATGCTAACCCTAATTTGGGTTGTACCCCTTATGGGCTACCCCACTACAGCCTACACAGCACAAGCATTATCATAGTTTCACAGGTTTGCGCAGGTGGCGGATAAACCTGAGCCCGAGACCACGCAATCGGCAGGATGTACCCGTCCATCACCGCCGTTCGAGCCTTGATCGGGAGGTATTGCGGTTGCCACAACGCCATCTTCCCAGCAATTTTCTACAGCGCCTTATCCCAAGTCGGCTGACAGCTCCCGCTCGGCGTGACCCATACACCAAGGAGCCTCTCCGCTTCATCCGCGCCCGCCCATCGAAAACCGTTTGAGTGCCAGGCCGTCTTCCTCAGATTAGCTCCCAGCAGCAACACCACCGATTTCTCCTTGTTCGTCTCCAGGCCAGAGATTTTCTTAAAAGCTTCCAACACCTCCACAGCCCTACCAATCTGTTGTTTCCCTTGCAGCAGGAGGGTCGTATCGTCAGCATAGCCAATGTACACCAATCGTTGGTCGACGCAGCTGGTAAGGGAGATCCCCAATTTCCTCTTCACCACCTTCTGCGCCAAAGGCTCAACCGCGCACAGAAAGAGGTAAGGCGCTAGGGACATCCTTGCCTCACCCCTGAGACTACTTCCACTGCCTCCCCTAGCCAGCCATTAATCAACAAGTTTGTCCGCGTGTTCGTGTGCAGGCCCTTCACCCAGCCAATGTAACGAGTCGGGAAGCCCATTCTCTCCATCACCTCGAAGATGTAGTCCCGGGAAACCGAATCAAACGCCTTCTTGAAGTCGACTAGCAACATGAACCAGTCTTCACTCCCATTCTTAGCTGCATCAATGACATCCACAACCAGCCCCACCGCATCAGACATTCTCCTCCCCGGGATGAAGCTGTACTGCTCCTGCGAGATTACCCTGTGCAGTACCTTCTTAATTCTGCTTGCCAGAACTCGCGCCAGCACCTTATAGCTCATGTTAAGCAGCGTGATGGGACGGTAATTCTCCAAATGCTCCTTTTCTCCCCTTTTATGCAGGAGGATCGTAACCGCGTCCTTGACACTGGCCGGGAGTAGGGAGGTGGCCGTGAAGTCTCGGACCAGCGCCATGACATGCTTCCCGAGCACATCTCAATGCTGCTCAAACACCTCCTTCGGTAATCCATCCTTCCCTGGTGTTTTGTTGCAAGCCATCTCCTTCAGCGCTTGTCTGACCTCCTCTTCCATCCAATCTTCTTCCGGGCTTTCCGCGTCAGAGTAAAAAAGCTTCTTCCCCGCCGCTGGGTTCGAGTCCAAAGCAGCCGTTCGCTTATCTTCCCCGAACAGATCACAGAAGAAATCCGATGCTGCTTTCAGGATGTGTTTTGGCTCCGACAGTGTGGAGGTGATTTCACCTCAAGAGGTCAAACCAGCGGTGCGGACCAATTGCCTGGCGAGGAATTGGCGTGAAACAAACGGGCGGTTCTAGTACAGTGTCACAAAAGTGCTATTCTGCATGTTTTCTCGGTTTTCTTGATGCACCCAGCTTCGGACAGTGCCCAACCTGAACCGACGCACCACTTGTGCGGATGGAAGAATTCATAAAGGCCATTTTTGGCCAAAAGAACAGTGCCATTCCCCCACACAGACTTCAACAGTGCAGGGGCCGTGTGGAAACCAAGTTAACCGGTTCCCTCGTCAACCAAGCGTTGGAATTTTCGCCAAGCCAACACTTCCACTACTGGTTTTGGCGAGTGTCAGGTGGCATTGGCAAAATCGAGCGCGCGATACGATGGGCACTCACTGTAGTGGGCAGGACGCGGTTCTGTACCATTGTTCGATGCGCACGCTAATTCGTAACGTGCGTGGTGTGCCGTATCGTGAACGGGAGCCGATTGTGTCTGGCATTTTTGTAAAACTCTATGTTACAACGCAGAATCTGGTTACTGAAGGGCTTTACGGACAGTAAATGGACGAGCTCGACACCCCCTTGTTGACAAAGAACGGTCTCTGCGTGTATCTTCGTGAATCCTCGCTGCTGGTCAACCAAGGTCCTAGCACGTATCCTAAAATCGATTCCGATATAAGTGGTTTTGCGTGTGTTACCAAATGACAATTGTCGCAAACAGGTAACGAAGCCAACTGTTTGACCAAATGAGCGACCAAACGCTTGTTCACAAAGATGTTCCACGTTCTAATGATCGCAATGATAAGAGTGGAGGCGAGCGAGTGTTGAGATAGTCAGAACCCGAGCGTGCTGAACCGCATCCTCGTTTGCAAATTGGCCAGGCCAAATACTCAGTCGAACCTTCACATCAATCTGCAACAATCTGCACTCATTTCTACGTTCCGTCACGAGACGGCAGATAGCGCCATACCCAGCCACGCGCCTCGCCGCGAAGTGCGCGTCGGGTCCACGCGTCGCTATGCCTCCCTCCGCACCGCCTCGCGACGCTTCGCCCGCCGTCGGGACGTCCGCGGCGAGCGTGACGCCGCACCGAGTGGCGCTCGCACTGCTGCTGCGCCTCCTCGCGGGCCCGCCGCACTCCGCCGAGCCCGGGCTGCCTGACGACATCCCACAAACGTTTGGCCCAAAAAGCCCCCCCCAAGGTTACCCACAGCTTACCCCCTGGGGGGATACCCCGGGGTCCTTGTCTAGGTAAGCCGTGGGTGACCTCTGCAGCTTTCACTTCGCGTGGTGACCCCAAGGTTACCCACGGGTGGTGACCCACAGGAAACCCCTCCCAGCAGTTCGGAACGAATCACACGCGAGCTGCGTCCTCGCTGTGAAATGCGTTGCCAACATCACAACATTTTGCCGACAGTACACTTACCAGAACTATAGAAAAGTTTAGCAACATCTTGTACAACATTTTAAAATTACGTTCCGTTATAGCCACATTCAAAATGGATATTGACCAATTCGTTTTCAAATTTATACGATTTCACAATCAAGCATATCAAAATACATTACAGTTTACTGCAGAAATTGTAACTTGAGGACCATTAGTAGTTAGTTCCATTAATCATTCATCTGCATATTGGCACTACAAACAATATTCCATGCAATAAATTAATATATTGAACACTTGCTAACATGCAAATAAACGTTTGTGTAGACACGGAATATTAGAGTACCAAAAAGCAGTAGAACCCTTGGCTCAGGCGGTGGAAAGGGAGCAGTTGGGGCTCAGCAAGGACGTGCAGCGGCTGAATTACCTCGGTTACGCTGATGATACCACGCTTATCCTGCACGGGGGGGAGCAGATAGCTAAGGCAGAAGAGATTCTGGATAAGTTCGAGAGGGCGTCCGGACTCGTGACAAACGAAGGGAAATCAGTCGTGTTGCCTTTGGGTGCCAATCTGGGTGCGATCGCGGACGGGTCAGCAGAGTTCAAGTGGGCAGGCGCTGACGACGTAGAACGCCTGCTGGGGGTATGGGTGTCGCCATCTGGAAGTGGGGTGAAAACGTGGGAGAAGGCATTAGAGCGGATTGCTGAGAAGCTGATTCAGTGGCAGCAGAAGTACTTGACGACCACGGCGCGTGCGACAGTGGTAAACCACTATATCATTCCGATCATTTCGTTCCAAGCACAAGTGTACCCGCCGTCGGTGGAGGTCTGTGAGGATCTCGTCCGACTCCTGCACAGCTTCACATCGGGTAACAGAGCGTCAGTGGCGAAGGGTTTCAGACTGTGGAGTAAAGAGCTGTTGTACACAACAAGGGTGGGTGGGATCGGAGTCCTGGACCCCGAGATCATCATCACCTGCCTTGCGGCGCGGAGAGTCGGTTTATTCCTTACGGAAGGGGACGTGTTGAAGAAGGAGCTGATGGAGTTAGCGGCAGAACTTCCTCTCGGAGCGGATTCATTCGAGGCCCACGAGAAGCTGTTCAAACACTGGAAAGGGCGGAGTGCACGGTGGAATCAGACCTGTGAATGCCTCTCCCGCTCGCCGCTGTGTACGAGGGTGGCGGCCGGCACGAGGGAGGAAATCCTGCTCGAACGAGTGGTGTTTAACAAAAACATCCTCCTACGGGGCACCACGCCGATTGGCAGCCAGAAGGCTGCAAATGAGCTGTCTGATCTCAGGCTTGGGGAGCTGTTCACAAGGGAGGTGTCAGGGGATCTCGTGCAGAAATCCATGGCGGAACTTGCAGAGGAGGTAGGGAGCAGAGGTGCTGCAAGGCTGGCGCTGAAGGCTCTGGGTTGCCTGCCTGCGTTCTGGTACAAGCAACTAGGGTTTCCAACTGTGCTCCCTCGTACGGTTGACTCCCCTCCGCAGCTGCTGATTCTGGATGGGGAGTAGGTTGTCCCCATGAGGAAGTTGAAGGAAGGTTGGAATGGGGCCCAAAAAGAATTGTACAAGCGCGCGAAATGGGCGGCAAGATGGGGGGGCAGCATCAACTGGAAAGCGGTTGTGCGCACCCGGGACTCTCTGGCTGTCCCTAGCCGTCCGCGGGATGTTCTCCTGCGGATCCACGGCTTGAATCTGCAAGTTGGGGAGCGTCTGGCTTTTCTGAGCAGCAAGCCTGTCTGCCCGTATTGTGGTGACCCGGAGACGTTGGAACACTGCCTGTTACTCTGCCCGAGGATTCAGGTGGTTTCCAACGCTCTTCGGCGCGCTCTGCGCATGCTCAACCCCGCCCGCACGACGGACTCGCTGGGTGACCTTCTGTTTCGGGACACAGGGACCAGCTCAGCATTCCCGGAGATGACGTTAACTTCGATTACAATGCACCAATTGTGGGTCGAGCGGTGTGAAGGCAGCTTCAGCAGGCTTCCCTTATGGTGAAGGCACAATTTATTTCCTGTCACAAATGAAACAAATAGTGGAACGCAATGGGCCATTAGTCATGCCACAGCTGTGAACTATGCGAAATCTGCTTACCAGAAAAGAAGTCTTACCCGGTAGGACGCAGCAATAGTAACTTATTGGTTATCCAGTGATTGCAAAAACACGGCGCAAAGGCAATGGATTGCAATGAAAGAAAACTATGACATGGCGAAAGCAACAGGAAACCAGTGTCAGAATGAGAACTACAGCGGAATGCGTTGTATTGACAGAACTGGGGTACATAACCTAACCCTAACTAGTTGTACCCCATATAGCCCAACCCACTACAGGCTATAATATTTGACACACCCCCATAGCCTAAGTGGGGAAGGCCAATCAACAACAAGCAACCTACGATCACAAGACCAGTCAAAAATAAGAGAAAGAAAACAAAGCTCAGGGTGGATCACAACGTCACCACCTAATCTGAGCACAAGCAAAGGGCCACAAGGCCAGTCCAAAAGTGTGCAAACAAATATATATATAAGGTACAAGCAAGCAACAGACAAAGAGCACCCTACAGCAGTCAACTAGACCCAGTCTCAACGAGGCCTAACTGCAGACAAAACCGACGGAGGTCACAAGGCTGGAGGGCCTTGGTGAAGATGTCTGCAGTGTTGGCCTCGGAGGCCACAAAGTCCAGACGAGCCTGTCCGCGTCTCTGCAACTCTCGAAGGAGGAAGTACCTGACGTCGATGTGCTTCACTCGGCTCTCCAGTCGAGGCTCACAACACAGGAGAATCATCGCCCTGTTGTCAGCAAACAGGGTCGGTGCAGAGCTCGGCCGCTCACCAAGGTCAGTGAGCAAAAAGGTCAACCAGCGTAGCTCCTGAGCAGCAAGGGCCCCAGCGTAGATCTCGGCCTCTGCGGTAGAAGTCGCAACAGAGGAGGACCGAGTAGACCTCCACGAAAAAGCTCCAGAACCCAGGCTGAAACAGTAACCCTGCATAGACCTCTGAGTCTCAACGTCGTCAGCGTAGGAAGAGTCACAGTGACCGGTGAGTACAACTGGCTGTGTCCCTCCAAGTACAAGCCCCATGCCTGATGTCGCGCCAAGGTACTTCGCCACCCTCTTAGCCGCCGCCCAGTGAACAGGACGGTGTCTCCCAGTCGCAACAAAGCGAGACAGGATGCTAAGGGGGAAGGCGAGGTCCGGGCGAGTGCACGTCATCAGGTACATGAGGCAGCCCACCAGCTCTGCGTAGGGACCACTGGGCTCGAACGGCTCGTCAAGAAAAGGCCCAGTGAGTCTGTGGTCTACAGCAAGAGGAGTGGGGGCAGGAGAAGAGTCCTGAAGCCCGAACCGCTGAAGAACCTGCTGCACCATGTGTGACTGAGTGAGAGTGATGGTGCGAGCGGCTCTGTCCCTGGAGATCTGCAGACCAAGGTAGCGGCGCAGTTCCCCAAGGTCAGTGAGGGTATGTCTCTTCTGCAGTTCGGACTTCACCTCTGCCAGTGCAGCTGTGTCGGCCGTGGCAAAAACCAAGTCGTCAACGTAGACTAGGACGAAGAAAGGTGTACGGCCACGACGAACAAACAACGACGGGTCGGCGGAAGACGGCTCAAACCCGAGGTCGGAGAGAGTAGAGCGGAGAGTGTCGTGCCACTCACGGGGTGCCTGGCGGAGACCGTAGACCGGTCGTCTGAGGCTCCACTGGGTCCCAGGCGGGAAAGTGCCAGTGAAGCCCGGAGGACGACGCAGCCAGATCTCCTCGTGTAAGCAGCCCTGGAGGAAGGCAGTGGAGAAGTCAAGAGAGTGTAGCTCGTAGTCTCTCTGCGCTGCAACGTGCAGTAACACCCGAAGAGTGGTCATCTTTGGGGTGGGCGCGAAGGTCTGAAAGAAGTCAACCCCCTCGCGCTGACTGAACCCTCTAGCCACGTAGCGTGCCTTGAAGACTGGGGGAGATCCCGGCGGCCGCTTCACCTTGAAGATCCACATGCCGTCAACAATGTTCGCCCCTGGGGGGGGAACCTCGTCAACGTAAGTGTCTGTGGACCTGTAGGAGGCCATCTCTGCGTCCATGGCAGCTCTCCACTGAGAGGCCCAAGGCCCTGACACTGCCTCAGCGTAAGTGCGAGGAGTAGGTATGTCAGGAGCGTCGGGGTCTCCCTCAGGAGTGAGCAGCATGGCACAGAGATGAGGCGAAGTAGCTGCCAGGAACTCTAACTCAAACTGTCTGTCCTCTAGGACGTCACAGCCAAGGGCACACACACCCCCGGCGGACAGAGGACGGACAGGAGGAGCTGCCACAACTCGAGTGGCGTAGTCAAGGCGACGCGTAGCAGTAAATTCAGTGACAGCGGCAGTGAGGACCGCGACGGAGGAAGGGGAGGCACGAGGGTCTGTAACAAGAGAGGCGAGAACACGAGAGCGAGTGGGGCGGTACGTGCGGTAGTAGTCAGTGACCGGAGTGGACAGGGAGGCAGTGAGGGAAGACTCAGGAGGACGAGGAAGGACAGACGGAGGAGAACGAGGAGGACGAGGACGAAACAACACGGTACGGAGGTCAGTGACAGGGGACGAGGGACGAGCACGAGGAGGGCGAGAGGCCCAAGTGTGGGCGAGAGGAGGGGGGGACGGAGGAGACTGAGAACGAGGGAAGACAGCCGGAGTGGAGTCCGGAGGAGGAAACGTGGGACCGAACACAGGAGGAGAGGAGGGGAGACCAAGGGCCCGAAGGCCAGAAACAGGGGCCGGAGGCTGCTCCGGCAGCTGCGGCGGCTGCTGCTGCTGCTGCTGCTGCTGCTGCTGCTGTGGCTGTGGCTGCGGCTGCTGCTGCTGCTGCTGCTGCTGAAACTCCAACAGCTCACGCTCCACCCGCTGCTGAACCTCCTACCTCTCACGCTCCAAACGCTGCTGCTCCTCACGCTCTAGAAGACGAAGGGCTTGGTAACGAGTCGGGCAGGGGTGAGGAGGAGGAGTGGTGTCAGGAGACGACGAAGAAGAACCGGCTCCACCCTCGACAGGACCCGGCCGAGCACCCCCAGAGCGAGGACCCCCTGCGGCAGCACGACCAGTACCTGTAGGAGGTGTACCCGCACCCCCAGTCGTGGCGCCGCCAGTGGCACTAGCACCAGCCCCAGACTCTCCAGCTCCAGAAACACCACCAGCTCCAGCACCACCACCGACTCCAACACGCTCGGGACGTGTAGCTGCGGCAGGTGCACGCTCAGCTCCAACTCCAACACCCCCAGAACCGGCACCGCCAGAGCCCTCACCTCGAGCACCAACACCCTCAGAGTCCGCAGTGGCCGGGAGAGGAAGCGCCGACGGCTGCTGCGGAGGCTGTGAGGACGAATGTGGGGAAGGAGGAGAAACCTGGGGGGGGACCGAGGGAGGGGGGGTAGCCTGCGACACACCTGACGGAGCGGGAACCGGGGGGGGTACCGGAGGAGAGGGAGCGGGAGGAGGAGGAGCTGGGGCGAGGAAGAGGGGAGGGGGGGCAACCGGGAGACCTCGACAGGGGTACCGGACGTAGTAGGGGACGGACTCGTCGAAACTGACGTCACGAGAGTCAAAGAACCGGTGGGAGGGAGGGTGGTAAAAGGTGAAGTCAGAGGAGGCCTCAGGGAAACCAAGGAAGTCACAGGGGACGCCGCGAGGTGAGAGCTTGTCCGCAGAGGTGTCGCGGACAAGCGCCAAGCAGCCCCAGACACTAAACCTCGACGCAACACCAGGGGACCCTGTCCAAAGACTGGTCGGTGAAGCCCCTGGCCGAGAGACGCGAGGCCAGAGGTTCAGCTGGTGAGCGGCGTACCGAGCCGCGTAGGGCCACAGAAAATGGGGCGCGCGGGCGTGGATCATGGAGGTGCGGGCAATCTCCATGACCAGGCCTAGCCGGCGCTCAGCAACCCCATTCTGCTGTGGAGAGTCTGGAAGAGTCCAGGACTGGGTGATGCCCTGCTCAGCACAGAATCTGGCGAGAATGCCGGAGCGAAACTCACCCCCACGGTCGGAGTGGAGACAACTGACACGACGACGACGAGTACTCTCGGTGGCGAGCAGCCACCGGATCAGCGTAGAAGTCACGTCGGACTTCTTCGCCAAAGGGAACACGGTGGTGTACCGAGAGTAGTCGTCAACGACCACTAGGAAGAAGCTCTCTCGCTCAGGTCCAAGCCGGGGAGCGGGGCCCCAGACGTCTAAGTGGAGTGTCTCAAAGGGCTCGGAGGCTGGACGAAGGGAGGAGGAGTGAGGAGTGGCGCGCAGCCGACCCTGGACACAAGGACCGCACGGAGGAGCGGGGGACGGCGGGAGCGGCGGGAGGTCGCGGGGGAGGCCTAAGACAAGACGCTGACTGGACATAGCGCGGAGACGAGAGAGGGACGGGTGACCAAGGCGGTGGTGCCAGAGGAGGGCAGGGTGGGACAGCGACCGACACGAGCACGACGCAGCCACTAGACCCGGCACAGCTACCTGACTGGACCTGGCTACCTGGTGGGACGGGGGAACCGGACGGGTGTCGGTGTGG